TAAAAAGAATGTATAAGAAATACATTAAGCTTTGCTAATAATGAAGATGTGGATTAACATGAATGTTTTCATTCGACAAGACCACACATCTGACAAGGCATCTGAGAATATTCTAGAGGGAATCTGGGAATTTCAGAAGCATTGACAAAGGCTACTTGGTCCCTCCATTTTCTTTCCACTTTGAATTTATTACCCTTGATAGCTGGTCATTTCGGTGGGTTTACAGAGCTGATTATTTGATGCTATGGGATATTTACAACTCTTATTAATGAGATGATCTATGACCCAGAAAATCTCCTCTGTCAAAATGAAGTTCTTATTTCAGGGCTTCAAGATGGATTCTGCTTTTTATTCTCTTACAAAGTCCAATTCTCCAAATATGCTGGCCTATGCTGAGATAACAAGTGGTGATCAACAGTGTATCTGTAGCAGGTATTAAAAACCAGCCCTGTCCAATGGCATAACACATAAAGCTGCTGCCTGTGGCACTGACATCCCATATAGATGCCTGTGCTTCACCCAGCTGTTTCACTTCCCATTCAGCTCCCTGTTAATGTACCTGGGAAAGCAACAGAAAACGGCCCACGTGTTTGGGCCCCTGCACCACGTAAGAGACTCAGATTGAAACTCCAGGGACTTTGGTCTGGCCCAGTCCCAGCTGCTGGGTCCACTTAGGGAGAAAACCAACAAATCACTCCCTCTCTGTCTCTTCTCTTCCTCTCTGTGTAATCTAACTCTGACTTTGAAATAAATTAATTTTAAAAAATCTATGCCAGTCCTCAAGGCAAAAGCAGCATTTTAGCAATCTATGAGATAATCTTTTGATGTGAGTATTTTAGAACTGGGTTGTTGAAACTGTTTTCAGTATTAAATGATTTCTATTGCTAAAAACTACAAATATTGACATAGATCTACACTCTAGACTTGAATATAATGCTTTTCAAATTTAATTTTTTAAAAAGTCCACAGAAAGAGATTCAGTGAATTTTAACTATCCCTTTAAAATATTAAGGATAATATTCTAATCTGTTTATAAGTACCAAATAAGATCAGGTAAGATGAAAAATTACCAGTTGGATTTCTGCAAAAATATTTGCAAAATTGACACACAGGCCTTACTAAAATTTATCAAACACAGCCAACAATTTATTTCTTCAGTTTGGATTGCTACATCTTTATGAAACATTTTTTTCAATGATGACAGATACTAAAACCAAATATAAAAATAAACTGAACTTAGACAAATCTGAGTCACTGTGTTACTAAGTATCAAGCTAAGATTTTCTGAAATGATGACTCATGATAGATTTGTTGCATTCTTGCTAAAAATCTTGTACAAGGTATGAATTGGTTAGACACATGGCTCTCACTAAAGATGTAACTATTTTTGTAAAATAATATAACTAGGAACATGTATGACGGCTCAATTGGATAATCTTCTGCCTGCACATACCAGGATCCCATGTGGGCTCCTGTTTGTGTCCTGGCTGCTTCATTTCCTCTCAGCTCCCTGCTTGTGGCCTGGGAAAGCAGTGGAAGATGGTACAAAGTCTTGGGACCCTGCACCCATGTGGGAGAGCCATAGATGGCTTTTGGCTCCTGGGTGTGTATTGTCTCAGCTTCAGCTATTGCAGCCATTTGGGGAGTGAACTAGTGGATGGGTGATCTCTCCCTCTTTTTCTGTCTTGCCTTCTGTCTGTAAATCCGCCTTTCAAATAAAATAATAAATCTTTTTTCTTTTTTCAATTTTTAGAGCAGAAGCAAAGCCAACGAATAGTTTTAGAGCAAAACTATTCATTCATTTTGTCCTTTAAATAAACTATTGTGTAGGAGGAAGTCTTGTGTACTCAAAACAAATATTTGCATGAAAAGGGGCAAGAATGAGACTGCTTTCAGAGACTGAAAGTATCAAGTCCATTTTTCAGGATTGTAGATCAATGAAAAAGTCAGCGAAAGCAGCCAGCTCATGGTGTTGATTTAGAAGTTACTAGGTTCCACAAAATACTTAGTGGGTTCCTCTGAAAATCTAAACTCAATCAGGAGTTATTTCCTTAAAATTAGTTTTCAGACCTTTCTAAAACTCTGTGAGATTTTTGTCCTTGGCCCCATACCTCTCAATGAAGTCCCTCATCAGATCTACTATTCTGATTTAACCCAGCCCTGCAGGCCGAAAAACTAGAAAACCTGAAACTTTGAGGTTTTTATTTTCCTCTACTCTTTATGCAGCAAGAACGTTAGACACTGACAAGATAAAAAACCCCACTTAAACCATGAGAAGTCTAAAGGTCTAATTGCATGAATATTCATAAATGCAGGACCTTGCATCCTACAAAATTGCCTTAAATACTTCCTTCTAATTGAGCCAATCCATAAGGTTGTCCTCATGGTTAGTAAATGAAGATGTATTAACAAAGAATAAAAGAAGGCTACCTTGGATCAGAGGTGCTCCCAAGCAAGAGCATCTTTTTTCTTTCTGATTTTTTATCCCCAATCAGCAAAAAGCTTCAGGTCACGTCAACATAGAGAAGAAACTGAAAGAGTCTTCCTTGTAACCAGTCCAAAGATAAGGTTTGGGCCTGTTGCAGATGCCTAGGTGACTGGCATCAAATAAAGGACCTTGAAGAAGCTCAAAGACAAGACTGTAAAAGGTACATGACTCCAATGGCTCTGAGAGCCAATTCCAGGACCCCAAAAAGCCCTACTCGTAACTCCAGTACCTGAGCAGGAATGGAGGTGGGATGGATTAAAACTCCAAGTCAAAATAGGCACTCTGGTGACGGAATCTCTTTCTACATTCTCAAACAAAATTCATAGAACTGGCTAACCATTGTCTCTTAGGGCGTTTTTCCAATAGAAATTCATTAAAATAAATTTTCCTTATAAAAATCCTCAAAGTTATACATTTCAATGTACTCTTTGTTAATCAGACTAGAGGATACTATTTTATTTTGAAACAAAACTTTAAAAAGATACAAAACCGGAACTAATAAAGGAACTAATAAACTAATAAAACTGCAACACAGAGAGAAGTTTCCAGACAGCATGACTATTGAGCTATTCAGGTGCACCACTGAAACAAGGTTCCACAGAAATGGGTACACAATCAATGCCCACCACTGAACACGTGCACAGAACAAAGTCCATTCCAAGGAAACAAAACGCTATGTGGCCATACATATGTATACGTCCTTGGTATGCACACAAAAACTGGACCAAAGACATCCACCAACGCGGTGGGTGAATTCCACATCTTCAACAAATACTGGAATCATCTGAGGGCAAGTAGAGGCTCAGAACTGTTCAAATCCTCAGGAACAAACAGGAAAAGGAAGCACAATACTGATCTTAACTATAGTGAATTATCAAGACAAAAACACACATATCACTGTGTGGGAGAACAGTCAACTGGCAGCTGTGTAGAGTTATACAAATAGTTGTAGGAATGTATTTGGATTTTTAGGGAAGTGGTATCATAAAGATATGAAATAGTCTCAAAGGGCAGGAGGGTGGGAGTGGGAGCTGAGCGAGGTGTGGGTGGCTGTGGAGAATGATGAAGTTATTTTGAGTTTGGAAGTGTAGGACCACCTGCACGGTGTGTGTCAGGGCACTGTGGTATATGCACATGGGAAACATGCACTGTGCACATGTCCCCACATACCTGTCCAGCTGTATACATGCTTGTGTGCATTCCTAGTTGATGACAGAGATCACTGTTCAATTTCCTTCTGATTTTAAATTTCTCACCTTAGACTCACATAATTGTGCACTATGTGCAATGCCTTACACAAACAGCAAGAATTCAAAGATGTAGATTGTTATGTAAGGGGCAATAACCCCTTCTATTTTAAGTAAATCAAGCTGAATTTCCTCACAAACTCATGGAATCAGTGGTGAGTGAGCAGTGGATCCAGTCAAGTTCAGACACTGAGAAATCTTGGAGAACTTTATTTGGGGTGTAAGGAATCATAGTTCAGAAGACACCTAAATGAGCATTGGGAAGGAGACAGAGAGCATGGGCATTTAGGTGGGCAACAAGAGCTCACTGACCCATTGAAAGCCGGTAAAGAATTTCCTCAGGTGAAAATTCTATTTGAGAAAGAGGAAGAGCAGGGATTGTGCATGATTGTTCCAAGAAACAAATAAGAGTATATATAAAATGCCCAGAAAACAAGGATCCCATAGCCTTCAAGGATCCCACTGAACCTGCATCTGGAGTGTCTAAACACAATATGATTACTTAGTCATTGCAGATGACTATATTCAAAGAGTGACAGTGATAAAGGGTTCAAACCTAGTTCCTTCTGTTTTCAAAGAGCCTCCATAATGAAGGTCAGGAACTTCACCGTACATCTATCGTATAATAGAACTCACTCAATGGGACCTCAGAATTGGAATCCTGAAGGGCCCCACTCATTTGGAAATGATAAAGGACATGTGACAATCTCATTTTCAGAAGCATGATCCTTATTAACTGGAGACTCTTGAATCAAGCAGGGATAGAAGACAAAAACTGGAAAAACACACACAAACATACATAATTGTCTACCAGGCCCTGGTGTGGTAGTTTTCAAGTTTTCCCTCCATATCATTTCCACTACTTCTCTAGCAGATGGCCATGCATCTGAGCAAATACCGCCAACGTTTCAAGAAGCAACCAGATTCACACAAATGTGCCTAATGTGGCTGACCCTCCTGGGACTGCTTTCTCACTTCATGGTTATTTTAAATTTCCAGTCCACTTCAAAGAATCGGGTCAGCCTTAATTAAGGACATAACTTCAGGCATAATTTTAGCTTTGGTCTGCTCATAGTTCCCACATGAACAGCTGAGGGGACTTATTTTCTATTCCTCTTTCGAATCTTTTGGCAGCACAGAGACCAGAATAGATGTTTTTTCCCCTAGGAAAGCACCTTTGGTGCATTTACCACACAGACATGACCTATTTCTAAGTGGGACTTTGCTGAGCCCGATTTCCGAGCTTCTACCTTCCGCATTCTTACCTCTGAGTTGTTCAGGTGGCATTTATGAGTTCCTGAAAACCAGCCATCATTTGAGCACTGGTCAATATCCACTGTTTGAAGATTTATGTCAATTTTCATGACACCCCTAAAAATACAGAAAGATAGGGAACAAATTAATCTGAGCCTTTACAATAGCTAACTGTGACATCTATGCTGCGAATCAGACCAATCTGTACAGAGAATGCACTCAGATTTTTCCAACTGCCCGCTTACATTCAACTAAAGTACACCAAATGAAAACACACAGCACGATAACATCATTATTAGTTTTAGAGAAGTCTTAAAAGCAGAAAAGCATTTACAATCCTCCATCTTCATCTCCTCCTGGAATGCCTGGTAAGTAACAGGTGTTCCACAAATAGTTGTTGATTGACTTGAACTACAGACAATATGGCTCTGGATATGGCAAAAAACAACTTAGGAAAACTCGGTTCTGAAATACCACCTACTCCCAATGCTGCTTTTTATTAGAGTACATTAAAAAGGAAAAATAAACCTTCATCCTTTTTTCCTCACTTATGTCAGGGCCACGGTGGGGGAGAACACGAGGTTGGCCAGAGACACCAGTACCTCTGAGCACCTCTTCTGTCTCACCTTCTAGAACCATGACCTGAAACAGCACTTTGGCTTATCCCGTGGTCTACACCAAGGACAGGCACATGCAACATCTGCAGAAAACGATGATAAAGTGTTTTTCTCAGAATCTGAAAATAAAAACACTGCATCTCACATGGTCATCTGAGAGGCGTCATTGAAAGAGAGAACCCACGAATTCATCGCTGAAACTGAATTTTTCAAGGAGACTCTAAATTTGTCTAGAATGGCCCCATTTTCTCCAACCAGCTCCCTGCCTTTACCTAATATCTGTCTTGCACTGAACTGCCATGCCTGGACGACTCTACTGAAACAAATATTTTGTATCATGGACCTTGATCAAATATATATATATCAAATATATATATATCAAATATCAAATATATATATATCATATATATATATCACCATATCAAATATATATCAAATATATATGTGTGTGTGTGTGTGTACATATACATATATATGTACATATACATATATATTTTAAGCCCTGGGACATAGCATAGAAAAGTAATCTTCCCTTGCAGCTCTAGTATCCTTATGGACAATCAATTCAAATCTAGCTGCTCCATTTCCCATCTAGCTCCATGCTAATAGCCTGGGAAAGCAGCAGAAGATGATGACTCAAATTCATTGGTTCCTGCACATATGCGGGAGAGCTGAAAGAAACTCCAGGCTCCTAAGTTGAGAGGACCACTCCTGGCCTTTGCGGATATTTGGCGGGGTGGTGAAAAAAACAGATAGAAGACTCTGTCTCTTTCCAGCTCTCCTTTCTACGTAATTCTGCCTTACGCAGAAATAAAAAGTAAATAAATAAAAAGCAAATAAATCTTTAAACACACACAATGCACAACACATTCCAAAAGTCCCACACCCTCAACTTAAAATTATATTCATTATATTAAACACACAAAACATATAAATAGACCCCAAACACTTATTTCATAGTTCTTGTGGCTATAAAATGCATCCATGTATTGTCAAATAAATGCAAGCAAAATGACAAAATTAACAATCATTAAAATAAAAATATTTAGAAAAAAAACAATGAGTGACCAATAGTGTAGCACAGTGAGCTAAGCTGCCATGTGCAATGCTGACATCCCATATTGGAGCGTCAGCTCCAACAAGACCCTACTTCTCTGCTCCAGGTCCAGCTCCCTGCTGATACACCTGAGAAAACAGTGGGAGGACAGCCCCAGTTCTTGGAACCCTGCCCACATGGGAACCCAGAGAGAGCTCCCGACTTTTGCCTAGACTTTCCACATCCATCCCACCCATTCGGACAGGGAAGCAGTAGATTGAAGACCTCTCTTCTCTGTCACTTTTCCCTTCAAATAAATTAAACGCATACATCTTATGGGGGAAAAATAACAATTATACTTGGGCAAAAGTAAATCACCTCTCAAAAAAGGAATTTGTTCATTTTATTTTACTATGCTATGTAACTCACTTTTAAATGTTCTCATTTTTTAACTAATGTGAAGTTTTCCAATAGAGTGATTTAGTATTACTTAGTGACTCAGTGTCACAAATCACTTGATTTCCTGGTCCAGCTCTGTGCTGTTTTCTAAATTGTGACAAAGTACAAAGTACAAAGGAGCCACAAATATAAACAGACACTAAGACAAGGAACCCTCCTGCCAGCTTTTGTTTACCTAGCTAACTCAGAGTGTGTTTAATTTCTCAATTATGGAGGTGGAAACCCCAAAATTATCACAGAAAGCAGGTTCAGTCCTTCTGCATGCCAGAACCTGTTATGTAGCATATGACTACGACGAGCTGTAATGCCATTAAACAAAGATTCCTGTGATGGATAACCGGATTCCCAAGTACCTAATGCCTTAATCCAACGCACTCCTTTGCTCTTTCAATCAATATCCACTGTCCAATTCGTGCATGTCACTGTTAGGCTGTGCAGCAGAGGATTCAAGGCAAACCATGCGGACGTTTCCTCAAGGAACACAAAAAGGTATAAGGTATGTTTTAAAGTGTAAAACGTTTAATGGGTAATGAAATTTGAAAATCTGTCCCTCGGGGTAAAGTCGTGATGACTGATGGAAACAGTGATTTGCTGACTGCCCTCACTCCATGATTTTCAGGAGAACCACGATCTATCCACGTAACACATGCTAATTACAGCAGTCGCCTTGTGCTTCTGCTTTGTATTCTAAAAACCAACATATCCATCCTATAAATATTTGCTGAATGTCTACTATAAACCAGAGTTGTTCTTGGCATTTGAAATGCATTAGTAAGCAGGGGGAAAAAAATCTGGTTCATGGAATTGAAGTATAGTAAAAGACATACAAGTTATGGTTACAATAAATAGGTAAATAATACCACTGCAGGCAGGTAAGAAGGTGAAAGCAGGAGAACAGATTAAACATGTTTAAGGAGTGGTCAGAAGGAACTTCCCTGGGGTAACATTTCTAACTCAGTACTCTATGAAGCACATAATTACAGGGTCCCTGTTTCACAGCAATTAAGACAACACTTGAGCCACCCATCCCCATATTGGAGAGGCTGGTTTATGACACAGCTCTGCCCAACTTCCTGCCAATACCATCTAGGACACAACAGAGGATGGCCTAAGTACCTGGATCCCTGCCAGCCCGCGGGGGAGACCCAGATGGATTTCTGGGATCTTGGCTTCAGCCTGGCCCACCTCTGGCTGGTCCAACATTTCTGTCTTGCTCCACCTTTCAAATAAAATGAAAATAAACTATGCATAAAATTTTGGGTTTTTTTTCTAAGCTATAATTCAAGAAGTTTATATTCATATCTTAAATCACCAGACCACTGCTGTCCATGGCAGTTGGCTATTCTTTTTTGAACAGCTCACTTAGAAAATACTCTCAAGTAGCAGACCAATCAAAAAACACATTTCTTTTTCCCCCATTGCTGTCCCTAACAAGTTTACTTAGACCTAGACTGGGTCTCTCTCTCTCTCTCTCTCTCTCTCTCTCTCTCTCTCTCTCTCTCTCTCTTCCTCTCTCCCTCTCTCTCTCTCTAAGGTTTATTTCTTTTACTTGAAAGTCAGCATTACAAAAGGGAGAGAGAAAGAAAAACAGATCTTCCATTTGCTGGTTCATTGCCCAAATGGCCGCAATGGCCCTAGCTGGGCTAGCCCCAGAGCCAGCAGCCAGGAGTTTCCCACATGAGTGCATCGGGCCAAGGCTTTGGGCCATACTCTGCTGCTTTCCCAGACACATTAGCAGAGAGCTGGATGGAAAGTGGAGCAGCTTGGGCCCAGAACCCATAGGAAACTTTGTGCTCCCTCAGGACCTCAAATACTTTGGGGTCCCTTTCCTGGAGAAAATGGACTTGAGAAATAGGGATTTTCATGGCTAGAAGAGTTTGTCCCTTAATGCCAAGTTCATCTATGGAAACCAAAAAGGGCAGATGGCCTTTTAACCTGCCCAAGTAATGAGGGAGCTAAGCCAGGCCCAGCTGGGGCAGGGGCACTGACTCATCCTCATTAGAGCCTCCCTTGCTCATCCTTGGTGCGAAGGACATACAAGGCCCTCTAGGGAGGACGCCAGACACTTCACATGCCTAACTGGAGAATTCGTGGGTTACACTAGGCTGGAGACACAGAAACACCCTCCTGGTGGTGAACACTACAGTATCCCATCCATAAGGGCACCTAGGTCCCCACATTCAGGCGCACCCTGGAGAGACAAACACACACTCCCTGCTTCCCCTGGAGCCAGGGGCTCTCGAAGATACAGCTCTCTTGTCAAATAAGCGCAGGTGCCTCTGTTAAGCTCCAAGAGAGTGGGAGTGGCTGCTCTGGGATGGCCTCCAGGGAGCAAGATGAGGGGAAGCTGACAAGTGGGTGGTGGGAGAAGGCAGGTAAGGTAGCCTCCAGAGACTATAAGACACAGCAGACAAAGCAACTGGGCCCCTCCCAAGCTCATGGGGGCCCAGTTTTGTCACAGGCCAGCAGCTGTCTCTGCTTGTCATCAAACAAGATGAACCTATGTGACCAAATAGGTAGACACTAGAATTAGTAGACAGGCTATCAGGCAGGTGTAGCGTTAGTCACAGGACACAGAAATCATTTTGCTATCACATGCACAGAATATTGACCAAAACTTTATTCAGAATAAACCAGATTGCACTTCAAAGGGAACCTTTAATTCCAAGATCTCCACAGTGTACTCTGTTGTTCATATTGCATCACTATTATAAGTTTTCTTAAATCATGGTATGTTTGGGGAAATAGAGATAAATTCCATAGACTAAAAAAGATATAGAATTGAATACTAGGGCCTGGCGACATGGCCTAGCGGCTAAAGTCCTTGCCTTGAACGCACCAGGATCCCATATGGGTGCCGGTTCTAATCCCGGCAGCTCCACTTCCCATCCAGCTCCCTGCTTGTGGCCTGGGAAAGCGGTCGGGTACGGCCCAAAGCCTGGGGACTCTGCACCCGTATGGGATACCCAGAAGAGGTTCCTGGATCCTGGCTTCCGATCGGCATA